TGGACAGGGCTAACAGTCGTGTAGGGTGGAGCTATCAGCCGTTTAGGGTGGAGCCTCCAGTCATGTAGACAGGGGCAATCAGTCATTTAGGATGAAGCGATCAGTCATTTAAGACTGGGGTATCAGCCGTTTAGGGTGGAGCAATCAGTCATTTAGGGAGGGGCTACCAATCATTTAGGACGGGGCTATCAGTCGTCTATGACAGGGCTAACAGTTTTTTAGGGTTGGGCTATTAACCGTTTAGGGAGGGGCTATTAGTCATTTAGGGAGGGGCTATTAGTCATTTAGGATGAAGTGATCAGTCATTTAGGGCGGGGTTATCTGTCATTTAGAACGGGGATATCAATTATTTAGGGCGGGGCTAGCCATTGTTTAGGACAGGGCAATCAGTCATTTAGGGTGGGGCCATCAGTTGTTTAGGGCGGAACTATCAGTCATTTAGGGTGGGGCCATCCTTCTTTCAGCATAGACCTATCGAGGTGCATCTCATTTCTGCTCTGCCTTCATCCGTGTCAATCTTCCTTCATTTTATTACCCAAATCCATCTTTCAACAATCCAGTCGGTTCCCAAAGAACAAAATCCTGCATCACCCTACTTTTGTTTTCTCATTTCAGGATTGTTTCCATTGGATGCACGTCACAATCAAGAAAAAAAAAATAATAATTTTAACTTTCATGGCGACTTTAAAATAAATCAAAAATCTGTCTCTGTGTTGGTGTTTGAGAGCAAGATAGTGTCCAATAAAAAAAAAAAAAAAGTACGTAGAAGAGCCAAACAGGTTTGGATTTAACTCTACCTATGGGACAAATTTTTTCAAAACCGTTAGCATTTCCTCTGGAGAGAGAGAAACAGATGCAGATGATGCTCCTGCTGAAGGCAAACCCTGAGCGCTGCGACTGGAAAGAGTCCTGCGCTGATAACTGCTGATGAGTGAACGCCGACAGGAGGAAGTGTCTGCTTTACCTCAACTTTAGGCCTAGAGAGTGACGATAGCCTTTTTTCCAGAGCGTCCGATGTTGGTTTGGTGGAGCGGTGGAAGCTTGGGACGCTTTCCAAACGTAAGAACATTAAACCTGCGCTGTGGTTCTTCACCTACCTCTTTGAGTCAGAAAATCGAATTACCGTCATTTGTCGCTCTTGACTCGCTCTGCCAAGCCGGAGTGCTGCGGTTTTGTTGAAAAACATCTAGAAAGTGGTATATGTTTTCAAAGGGACGCCCCCACACTCAAAACGATGAATCTTTGGAGAAAATGGAGCCGGAAGAGTGAAGAGAAGCTCGGTGCTGTGACTTCTGTGGTGATTTTGAAGACGACGACGATGATGATGATGATGATGATGATGAAGATGCACGTTTAATATTTCTCAGGACTTTTTTTTTTTGCAGAAGGAACCCTGACGCCAGCAGAAAGGTCGGGCAGTCTGCTCTCCACAATTCTTAAATTTCACGAGGACCAGAGGGATGAGCTTGTGAAACAAAAGACGACCTTTCTGAACACACACCAGCGGAAAACCTTACGAACATCAACATGAAGCCCACCTCCTACTGAGAGACACAGAGAAGGACGGCATACAAGAGCTGACCAGAGACCAAGACTAAATTTCCTTCAGTTTTTCGAACACATATATATATATATATATATATATATATATATATATATATATATATATATATATATATATATATATATATATATATATATATATATATATATATATATATATATATATATATATATATATATATATATATATATATATATATATATATATATATATATATATATATATATATATATATATATATATATATATATATATATATATATATATATATATATATATATATATATATATATA